CAGGTATTATGAGAAAATACCGGTTCATCCCTCAAAATGATACAAGTAAAAAGTAGCGCACATTACTAGTTTATTAACTTCTGCTTTAGGTGAAGTTCCTTGGGGCTGCGGTATCCGTCCCGAAAGGATGCGTGATTCAAATAAGACGAGTGGTTGGAGCGGACAGACATTTTGTGAAAAACACAGGCATTTGAACAATGGACAACGGGACCAAGATTCAGAGCTCATTGATGATTACAAGGACGATGATTGTAATGTATTTAGGTGAGAAAAATTCTACGCTCTCAGTTCATTAAAATGATTACATTCATTCTTTTTCCTAGATCCGAACGGTATTCAAACAGATTAACATCGTATGGAGTAACAATTTCAATGTTAAACTGTGGAATTGTAGTCAATTTTCATGAATTATACCGGTCAGAAGGTCCGATTAGAGCCTTACATCACGTATTTGTTACAATTGATAACTGGTCGCCATTTGCACCATTGCCAGCATTTTTGATTTATGACAATGCTTGTGGGCTATGGAAAACATTTGACACTCGTATGAAAAACCGAAGGATAACTCGTACACCAACAACTGATAAATTGAAATCAATGCAATTCGTTGTCGACAAATTCCACATAACTAATCAAAAGAGAAAAATGTGTGAAACATTCACAAATCCATGGAAATATTTAGAATTACAAAACATAAATACCCAAGTATGTGAACAATTTAATTCGAAAGTAAAACAGTACCAGAATCCAGTGTCTTCATATTCAGCGCCAAAGTCTGAAATATTTTACTTACTATTATCCTCACATTCCTCAGGATCCTCACATTTCTCACATTCGTCAAGATCCTCACATGCGTCAGGATCCATACTGAGCATCACTGAACATCTGAGCCGTTCTGATCCCGTCAGAAATACGTACTGCGTACAGAAATCACAAATCACCACAAATTAAAAATTTCGAATTGGCCGAACGTTGAAGTAAACCGGTCCATTTAGCATTTTCAGGATTCTGGGGGTACTTGGACTTTCAACCATATATCGAAACTCATCGAGCCCCCTTTAAATTCAACTTAGTCGGCAGGGGGAGGGCCGGGCAAGCAGTGACAGTGAGTGAAGAAGCAAACAACTCCTCATACTCCTCAAAAGTCCGCACACTCCTCAGGATCCTCACATTCCTCATATTCCTCACATTCATCATATTCCTCACATTTGTCCGGATACCAACATTCCTCGAAATCCTCACACTCCTCAGCATGCTCGCATTTCCCAGGATCCTCACATTTGCTATGATCCTCACATTCCTCACACTCCTCAGGATCCTCACATTCCTCAGGATCCTAACATTCCTCATATTCCTCACATTCCTCAGGAGCCTCACATTCACCAGGATCCTCACATTCCTCATATTCATCACATTCCTCATATTCCTCACATTCCTCAGGAGCAGCACATTCCTCATATACCTCACATTCCTCAGGATCCTCAGACTCCTCAGGATCCTCACATTCCTCATATTCCGCACACTCCCAAGGATACTCACATTCCTCACATTTGCCACGATGCTCGCATTCCTCACATTCCTCAAATTCCTCACACTCCCCAGGATCATTTCCTCACTTTCCCAGGATCATTTGCCACGATCCTCACATTCCTCACACTCCTCAGGATCCTCACATTCCTCACACTCCTAAGGACCGTCACATTTCTCAGGATCATTTGCCACGATCCTCACATTCCTCACATTCCCCGGGATCCTCACATTCGTCACGATCCTCACATTTGCCACCATCCGCACATTCCACACACTCCTCAGGATGCTCACATTCCCCAGGATTCTCATATTCCTCCCAATCCTCATATTCCTCACATTCCTCACATTGCTCATATTCCTCACATTTCTCAGGATCCTCACATTCCTGATATTCCACACATTCCTCATACTCCGCACACTCCTCAGGATCCTCACATTCCACAAATTCCTCATATTCCTCACATTCGTCAGGACCCTCAGACTCCTCAGGATCCTCACATTTCTCAGGATCCTCAGACTCCTCAGGATCCTCACATTCCTCATATTCCTCACACTCCCAATGATCCTCACATTCTTCATATTCCTCACATTCCCTAGCAACCTCACATTCCTCACATTCGTCAGGATCCTCACATTCCTCAGGATCCTCAGACTCCTCACGATCCTCACATTCTTCATATTCCGCACACTCCCAAGGATCCTCACATTCCTCACATTTGCCACGATCCTCACATTTCCTCACACTCCTCAAAACCGTCACATTTCCCAGGATCATTTGCCACGATCCTCACATTCCTCACACTCCTCAAGATCCTCACATTCCTCACATTCCTCAGGATCCTCACATTCGTCACGATCCTCACATTTGCCACCATCCGCACATTCCTCACACTCCTCAAAATGCTCACATTCCCCAGGACTCTCATATTCCTCACAATCCTGATATTCCTCACATTCCTCACATTCCTCAGGATCCTCACATTCGTCAGGACCCTTACATTTCCCAGGTTGCTGATATTCCTCACATTCCTTATATTCCGCATACTCCTCAGGATCCTCACATTCCTCACATTCCTCATATTCCTCACATTCGTCAGGACCCTCAGGCTACTCAGGATCCTCACATTTTTTCATATTCCTCATATTCCTCAGGATCCTCAGAATCCGCCGACGCCTCCCATTACTCCCACTCCTCAGGATCCTCACATTCCTTAGCATCCTCACATTCCTCACATTCCTCACATTCGTCAGGATCCTCAGACTCCTCAGGATTCTCACATTCCTCAGATTCCTCACACTGCGCACATTCCTTACGATCCTCACATTCTTCATATTTGCCACGATCCTCAATATCCACAAACTCCTCCGGATCCTCACATTCCTCACATTCCTCCACATTCATCACATTCATCCAGGATCCTCACCTTTGTTAGCATCCTCGCGTTTCCCAGGACCCTCACATTCTTCACATTTGCCACGATCCTCACATTCCTCCCACTCCTCAGGATCCTCACATTCCTCAGTGTCCTCACATTCCTCATATTCCTCACATTCTTCAGGAGCCCCACATTCACCAGGGTCCTCACATTCCTCATATTCCACACATTCACCATATTCCTCATATTCCTCACATTTGTCCGGGTACTAACATCCCTCAGGATCCTCACACTCCTCAGCATCCTCATATTTCCCGGGATCCTCACATTATTCATATTCCGCACAACCCTCAGGATCCTCAGACCCCTCAGGATCCTCAGATTCTTTATATTCCTCACATTCCTCACATTCCTCAGCATCCTCACATTTCCAAGGTTCCTCACATTCCTGATATTCCACACATTCCTCATACTCCGCACACTCCTCAGCATCCTCACATTCCTCACACTCCTCAGGACCGTCACATTTCCCAGGATCATTTGCCACGATCCTTACACTCCTCAAGACCCACACACTCCTCACATTCCTCGGGATCCTCACATTCGTCACAATCCGCACATTCCTCACACTCCTCAGGCAGCTCACATTCCCCAGGATTCTCATATTCCTCACACTCCTCATATTCCTCACATTCCTCATATTCCTCACATTCCTAATATTCCGCACCCTCCTCAGGATCCTCACATTCCTCACATTTGTCAGGAACCGTACATTTGCCAGGACCCTAACATTTCCCAGGTTCCTCACATTCCTAATAATTCCGCACACTTTTCAGGAGCGTCACATTACCCAGGATCACTTGCCACAATTCTCACATTCCTCACATTCCTCGGGATCCTCACATTCGTCACGATCCTCACATTTGCCACGATCCGCACATTCGTCACACTCCTCAGGATCCTCACATTCCTCACATTCGTCAGGATCCTCAGACTCCTCACATTGCTCACATTCCTCACATTCCTTAGGATCCTCACATTTGTCAGGATACTCACGTTTGCCACGATCCTCACATTCCTCATATTCCTCACATTTTTCAGACTCCTCACAATCGTCACTTTCCTCACATTCCTCAGGATTCTAACCATCGTCAGGATCCTCACATTTGCCACGATCCTCACATTCGTCACACTCCTCAGGATCCTCACACTCCTGACATTCCTCATATTCCTCACATTCGTCAGGACCCTCAGGCTACTCAGGATCCTCACATTTTTTCATATTCCTCACATTTTG